CGACCTGGGCACTGCAGACAGCGACGCCATTGTCAACTTCACCGACTGGACACATCCTCCGGATCTCGATCCCGACTTCAGCCCATAAGGTTTCTGGTACTCGCACACCATCCCTAAAGCAGAACGAACACGAGCATTAGCAACGATTCAACAAACGGCAGCAGCAGAGACAACATCAGCAGCAGCAGAGACAACATCGGCAGCAGCAGAGACAACATCAGCAGCAGCAGAGACAACATCAGCAGCAGCAGAGACAACATCGGCAGCCGCAGGACCAACGGCACCAGTCATCGTCGACGAAGCACCACCAACAATCGCACAGCAACTGAACCCGACTCAACGAGAAGTCCACAGAAGCGCCAATGTCGTCGCCAGCTTCTACTCCAACTCTGACGCGTATCAACGCTCACCCGGACATCGCGCTCCTGAAGACATCTGGCACGCACGCACAGGACATCCAAGCAATACGGTTTTAAATAACACAATACGAGCAGGAGTCCTGGACAAAGATTCACTACTTCTACCCGACGGCAGAGAACTTCAACGGGCACGAGGAACTTGCCTCATATGCCCCGAAGCCGACTTACCCCATCGACCGTTTCCTTCTCACCACAACCCGAGCGCACCTGCATACACACCACTCGAAAAAGTATACAGCGACATCCCCTTCAATCGAGAACCAGGACAAGTCACCTATAACTACACGATAACTTTCATCGACGCCGCCACTCGATACGTTTGGCATCGAAACCTACCCAGCCGCGACATGGCTCTCGCAGCGTTCGCCGCCTGGCTACCGGTAGCAGAGAGGGAATCAGGAACGCAGCTGAAAAGCTTCCAGTCAGACGGAGGAGGAGAATACACCTCTCAGCGCTTCAAGCAGTACCTGGCGGAAAGGGGAATCAAACAACTCCTCTCCCTTCCTTACGCCCATCAGCAGCAAGGTGTTGCAGAAAGAATGAACAGGACTCTGCAGAATAGCATGCGCAAGCTGCTACGTGGCATGCGGCTACCCAACCACCAGTGGCCAGCAGCAATGGACCATGCTGTCATGCTGCACAACTTGCTGTCGTCGTCGTCACTCCCGAACAACACATCACCGCATCTGCTGTGGACAGGGAAGCAGGGCAGCACAAAAATGTTAAGAGTTTTCGGGTGCATGGTACAGTACCGACTCCCAGAAGCACGAGCTGGAAGATTTTCGCAACGGGCACAGTGGGGACTACACCTCGGCATCGAGAAAAATTACAACGCGTGGAAAATCTTCGACGTCCACACAAAGGAAACAGTAGCAGCACGTGATGTGATCTTCTACGAGCGACTCACCCTTCAGACGTACCTCGCCAACTTGCACGAAAATCGGGATCCCACAGGAGGCTTTCGTGGTGACCGAGCCTTCGCCTCAGCAGCGGACGAAGTAGACTGGGATGAACAGAACGTGGACAACGCATCGGAAGAAGCCGGACCTCTCCCATACTGCTCCGTCGACGTGCCCATGGACGAAGAGAATCCTCGCGACAGTGTCAACGCCGAAGTCTTCTACCACTTCGCCGACAACGGTTACGTAACACCTGCGACAGTCAACACAAACGAAGCAGAAAGAATAGGGCCAAACTTCATACCCGATCCAGAAGCGGGAGACGAAGCAGCTTATCCCGAGGATCCAACAATCCCCCGATACTCACAGAATGGGCTGCAAATCCTCGGCCTCGTCACCGCAGTCCACGGGAACACAGGCAGCGCACTTCCTAAGGAGCCTGCGACGGTTCAGCAGGCTCTGGGGGGGGAACACAGGGAGAAATGGCGTGAAGCCATGGACAGAGAATTAAAAGCATTGGAGGAACGCAACACCTGGAAGGTCGTTCCCGCAAGCGTGGCAAGAAACAAGACCATTCTCACTGGGAAATGGGTCTTCCGCATCAAAACGAAAGCAGACGGCACAATCGAAAAGTTCAAAGCACGCTGGGTCGTGCGTGGATTCGACCAGGAGCAAGGAAGAGACTTCACTGAGACATTCACCCCAGTTAGTCGACATACCTCTCTCCGTATTCTTCTCGCTGTCGCCGCCATGAAGAAAAAGAAACTGCGGCAAATTGATGTCGCCAACGCGTTTCTCTACGCCCCCGTCGACGCCGAAATCTTCTTCGAACTCCCACACGGTACCCACGGAAACCCCAATCAGGTCTGCCAGCTACTGAAATCGCTCTACGGAATCAAACAAGCTCCGCGGCTGTGGCAACAGCACCTACACACCCGCCTCACTCGCATCGGATTCCGCCAACTACCTCTCGACCAAGGAATGTATCGATTCACCAAAGGCACAGACTACATCCTGCTAATCGTCTACGTCGACGACCTACTCTACATCGGCTCCACCGACGACATCACCTCCTGGTTCGAAGGGGAGCTCCAGAAGGATCTCACGCTCACGGTTTCTTCTACCGTCACCCAGTACCTCGGGCTCAACATCCGCGAAAAGGAAAATGCTATCTACCTCAGCGCCGAGAAATACGCCGACACCATCGCCAAGCGCTTCTCACTCACACCTACCGCTATCGCCACGCCGTACCGCTACACGGCAGGAAATGACAAAGGAAAATCCGCTCCACTCAAAACTGCCGTAATACGCGACTACCAGAGGAAACTGGGCTGCCTCCACTTCGCAGCCGTCACCTGCCGCCCGGATCTATCCTACTCCGCAAGCCAACTCGCTACCTACCTCAAGAAACCCGAAGCAGAGCACCTGGCGGAGCTCGATCGCGCACTACACTACTTCGTGAGCACACCGACGATCGGCCTGACTTACTACAAGGGCGAAGCTACGACGACAAAACTAATCGGCTACGTCGATGCTGACCATGCCGGCGATTCTGATAACAGGCGCTCTCGCACTGGCTACGTCTATCGTCTCGAGCCTATCGGACCTATCTCATGGCAGTCGAGTAAGCAGGAACTAATCGCTCTCTCCTCAGCTGAAGCAGAATATATCGCCCTCTGTTCAGCCACCAAGGAAGGACTCTACCTTCGCGAGCTGCTGGAAGAAGCAAAGTTAGCTGAGTTACCCAACTTCACCCTGTTCCGCAACTACCAATCTGCAATTCGCATCGCCAACAAAAGCGGATTCGCGAACAGAACAAAACATATCGCTCTGCGATACTTTTTCGTGAAGGACGAGATCGAGAGAGGGAAACTCGAACTATCCTACTGTCCCACGTCCGAGATGGCAGCCGATTACTTGACCAAGAAACTCGGAAAACAGAAGTTCGAGTACTGCATGCTGCTAACTGGACAAGGCCACGTCACCATCAGCGACACTCCAGAAGCGAAGGGGAGTGTTGGGAATAATAAGTCTTAAGCGCCTCTGTCGTGTCGAAACCCAGGACACTAGCGAAGCAGTCCGAATCGAAGCACCGCGAGTCAACCCTCGGAGGTTAGGGTAACCGCTTGGAGGTTACGCGAAGGTCAAAGGTCAGCGACCTTTGACTTGACAAATACAGCGCGACAGCAAGGACACACAACTGACTCGACATTGAGCAGTTGCCCGAGTCGCACTGTATCGAATCGCAACAGTAAAACGGTTTAAACTTATCTGTTCGTATTCCTTGTACTCTTATATAAACCTTTGTATTTGCTTGTTTAATCAACTTACTTTGCCCTCACATACTAGCGCAAGGTGGTTCAAGCATTCTTTATTCAAAGCTTCCGCTATTACAATCCTACTCAGACCTTAAGCTCTACAAAGATCCTAGGGCTTTTCAGCCCAACAGATGAAACACCCACCAAAACAAAATGAAACCCAAAAAGAATATGGATGCATTTTCGGATGAATCAACCCTAAACACGTAACTCGCTATGTGTTTAGGGTTGATCCGTTCCCAAACCACATCCGATTCCGATTGGATTTTGTCAGACTTATATGATTTAGCCTATGTAGGGTAGCACATATAGGGTACAACACATTTCTAGGGTTTGTACTTGTACCCAACCTTTCCCTTAGTCAATCATCCCTCATAATCTTCACATGGTATAGAGCAGGATCCCTAGTGGGAACGTTCCTAGGGCCCACCACTGAAAATATATTTTTTTTTCCTGCCCGGAGCGCGCTTCGCTCTTGCTCGAGTCGCGCCGCGCGTGCCTACCCTCCTGTCGCGTCTCCTGCCCTTAGCGGCCCGTCGCGCCCTCTTACGGCCCCGTAGCGGCCCCTCTCACGGCCCCCTCACAGCCCCTCTCACGGCCCTTCGCGGCCCCTTCAGGCCCCTCGCGGCCCCTTCGCGGCCCCGTCGCCGCCCTTCAAGGCCCCTCGCGACCCCTCTCACGGCCCCTCGCGGCCCCTTCGCGGCTCCCTCGCGGCCCCTCCGCCGCCCTTCGCGGCCACTCTCACGGCCCTTCGTGGCCCCTTACCGCCCCTCGTGGCCCCTTCGCGGTCCCTCGTGGCCTCTTCAGGGCCCCGTCGCCGCCCTTCGCGGCCCTGTCGCCGCCCTTCACGACCCCGTCGCCGCCCTTCGCGGCCCCTCACGGCCCCGTCTCGGCCCCGTCGCCGCCCTTCGCGGCCCCTCACGGCCCCTTCGCGGCCCCTTCACCGCCCTTAGCGGCCCCTTCTCGGCTCCTCTGCGGCCCCTTCTCGGCTCCCTCATGGACCTGCCGCCCCGCCGTCGCCGCCCCTGCAGCAGCACCCGTCGCCGCCCCTGCAGCAGGAGCCACAGCCGCCGACAGCAGCAGCTGCTGCCGCCACTACCGGGGCCGCCGCCGCCGCAGCCGCCGACTGCAGCCGCCGCCGCCGCCGCCGACAGCAGGGGCCGCCGCCGCCGTTCCGGCCCTGCCCTGCAGAGAGGAGCGGCAATCCTCTGCCGCCCTGTAGCGGCCCTGTCCCTGCCGGCGCGCCTCGGCCCTGCCCCACCACTTGCGGACCTCTATCCACCTGCCCTGGTAAGAGCACCGCCGAGCCGCGCCCCTATTGTTGCTACTGCTGCTGCTGCCCCTAGCCTGCTGCCACTGCTGTCATGGCTACGCCTAGCGTTCTCGTCTTTGATGCTGAGGGTAGGGATGTTGACTTTCAGGTGTGGGTCGATGATCTACAACTTTTCCTACAGTGCGATAGGAAAGACGGTCTCTCACTGTTCGATCTCACGTCGGGCGCCTCTGCTGCCCCTGCTGCCGATGCTGACAGCACTGTTCGCTCACAGTGGGCCACACGCGAGGCTGCTGCCCGTCTTGCTGTGCGTAGTCACTTACCATCCTCTGAGCGCGCGCACTTCAGTCAGTACAAGAGTGCTAGGACCTTGTACGACGCTGTAGTCGCACGCTACTCTTCCCTTGCCACTGCTGCTCTTAGCCGCCTCATGCTGCCGTACTTGTTCCTTGACCTCGCCGCCTTTCCCACAGTCGCTGACCTCATTACGCACCTTCGCACTAGTGACACCCGCTACCGCGCTGCGCTTCCTGCTGATTTTCTGCGCCAAGAACCCCCCCCCCCCCCCCCATGTACATCACCCTCTACTACATAGTCACCCGGCTCCCTGACTCCCTTCGCTCGGTCAGGGACCACTTCCTCTCTGTTTGCCCCACCACACTCACCGTTGACCTCCTTGAGGAGCGCTTCCTGGCAGCTGAGAAAAGTATAGTCGCTGTAGGAGCCTCTCGTGGTGACCCTCGTGCCCCCTTCTTTGAGGGGTGCTCCCCCTCCCCCCTTTTGCCCTCTGTTGCCTCTGCTGCTGCCGTCGACTTCGTTGGCACCGAGTCGGTCGGCGCTGCGTCTGCCCCTAGCGGGAGCCGCCGCACCGGCAAGGGCAAGGGGGGCAAGGGCGCTGGAGGGGCTGGCGGGGGCGGTGGAGGTGGCGGCGGAGGCGGCGGAGAGAGTGGGGGTGGCGGTGGGAGTGGTGGCGGGGGTTGGAGCTTCGGTGGCGGCGGTGGAGGCGGAGGCGGCGGCGGCGGTGGCGGTGGGAGCGGAGGAGGAGGTAGTGGCGGCGGTGGCGGAGGTGGCGGCGGCGGAGGTGGAGCTGGTCGGGGTGGCTCTGCGCAGCGGAGCGGCTTCGGTGGTGGTCAGCGTCAGCAGCAGCAGTGCTCTCGTGAGACCCCGCCCCCCCAGCAGCTTCGTGAGAGGTACGCTGCGCGTCAGCGGGGTGGGGATGCTGGTCCCTGTGTCTACGTCCTGTGTACCGGCGACCGCACTGGTGAGCTGTGCGGTGGCCCGCACACCACCCGGCGCTGCTTTGGCCGCCTGACGAACGCTTGGCGTCTCCAGTTCCCTGACGCCACTGAGATCCCCCACTTGGGTGAGCTGCTTAGGTCGGGGGTTGCTATCTTTGATCTAGATTATGATGCTATCCTTGCTGCCATGTATGTTGTGTGTGAGAGTACGACGGCTCATGCCAGCTATGCTTGCTTGCCTTTCCGTTATCATGCTATTTCTAGCATAGGATAATGTTAGAACATTATAGCTTATGCATTTGTGTAGGCTGTAGTGGGGTAGCCCATAAGGGGTACAACCCAATTAGGGTTAGTACTTGTACCCTTCTGTTTCATAGTTCATTCATTCTCGTTCTCTCTTCAACATGGTATCGAGCATGTTCCCTAGTGGGAACTGTTCCTAGGGCCCACCGACCCTTTTTTTTTTCCTGCCCGGGGCGCGTCCCGCCCCTGCCCGAAGCGCGCTTAGGGTCGCGCCTTCCCTAGCGGCCCCGTCACGTCGCCCTTAGCGGCTCGTCGCGCCGCCCTTAGCGGTCCCGTCGCGCCGCCCTTCGCGGCCGCGTCGCGCCGCCCTTTCGCGACTTCGTCGCGCCGCCCCTTTCGCGGCCCCGTCGTACCGCCCTCAGCGGCCCGTCGCCGCCCTCCCCCTGTGGCCCGTCGCCGCCCTTTCACATGCGGCCCCGACGCCGCCCTTACAGCGGCCCCATCGCCGCCCTTTCAGCGGCTTCGCCGCCTCCTTCAGCAGCCCCGTCGCCGCCCTCCCCTTACGACCCGTCGCCGCCTCTTACAGCGGCCCTGTCGCCGCCCTTTCAGCGGCTCCACCGCCTCCTTCAGCGGCCCCTTTGCCGCCCTTTCAGCGGCTCCGCCGCCTCCTTCAGTGGCCCCGTCGCCGCCCTCCCCTTATGGCCCGTCGCCGCCCTTACAGCGGCCCCGTCGCCGCCCTTTCAGCGGCCCCGCCGCCTTCTTCAGCGGCCCCGTCGCCACCCCTGCAGCGGCCTCGACGCCGCCCCTTCAGCGGCCCTCTCGCCGCCTCCTTTGCGGCCCCGTCGCCGCTCACTTCAGCGGCCCCACAGCCCTACGCGGCCCCGCCTTCCTTAGCGGCACAGTAGCCCAGCAGCCGAGCCGCAGAGCCTCCAAGCAGCCGAGCCGCCGAGCAGCCGAGCCGCCGAGCCGCCGAGCCGCCGAGCCGCCCAGAAGCCGAGCCGCCGAGCCGCCCAGCAGCCGGGCTGCCCTCCTTGGAGCCGTCCCACCTACCTGGTAAGAGCAGCGACTCTGCCACTGCACGTCCCTACCCTGCTGCTCTCACTGCTATTCCACTGCTGTCATGGCTACCCCTAGCGTTCTCACCTTTGACGCTGAGGGACGTGCTGTTGACTTTGAGATCTGGGTAGATGATTTACAGCTTTTCCTCCAGTGCGACAGGGCAGACGACCTTTCTCTGTTTGACCTTACCTCTGGCGCCTCCCCTGCCCCTGCTGCTGATGCTGACGCCACTGTTTGCTCACAGTGGGCCACACGGGATGCTGCTGCTCGCCTTGCTGTGCGCCGCCACTTGCCGACCGCTGAGCGCGCGCACTTTAGTCAGTACAAGACCTCTAAGACCTTATACGACGCTGTAGTTGCGCGCTACTCCTCCCCTGCCACTGCTGCCCTTAGCCGCCTCATCCTGCCAAACCTCTTTCCTGACCTCGCTACCTTTCCTACTGTCGCTGACCTCATCACGCACCTTTGCACTAGTGACGCTCGTTACCGCGCTGCCCTTCCCGCTGAGTTATGCGCCAAGAACCCCCACCCTATGTATATCACCCTCTACTACATAGTTACCTGGCTCCCTGACACACTTCGCCCAGTCAGGGACCACTTCCTCTCTATCTGCCCCACCACTCTCACCGTTGAGCTCCTTGAGGAGCGCCTCCTAGCAGCAGAGAAGAGCATAGTCGCTGTAGGAGCCTCTCGTGGTGACCCCCGTACCCCTGTCTTTGAGGGGTGCCCCCCCTCCCCCCTCTTGCCCTCTGTTGCCTCTGCTGCTGTGGCCGACCTAGTTGGTCTTGAGTCGGTCGGCGCGGCGTCTGCCCCTAGCGGGAGACACCGCTCAGACAAGGGCAAGGGGGGCAGGCGCACTGGCGGGGGCGGTGGAGGCGGCGGTGGAGGCGGCGGAGGGAGTGGGGGTGGTGGTGGGGGTGGTGGCGGGGGTGGGAGTGCTAGTGGCGGCGATGGAGGCGAAGGAGGCGGCGGTGGTGGCGGTGCGAGTGGAGGTGGCGGAGGTGGAGGCGGTGGTGGAAGTAGCAGTGGCGGAGGTGGAGGCGATGGTGGAAGTAGCGGCGGCGGAGGTGGAGCTGGTCGTGGTGGCGCTACGCAGAGGGTCGGGGCCGGTAGTGGTCAGCGCCAGCAGCAGCAGCAGCAGCGCACTCATGAGACCCTCTCCCCCCAGCAGCTTCGTGAGTGGTAAACGGCTCATCAGCGGGGTGGAGGTCCTGGCCCCTGTACCTACGTCCTCCGCACCGGCGACCGCTCGGGTGAGCAGTGTGGGGGTCTGCACTCCACCCAGCGCTGCTTTGGCCGCCTGACAGACGCTTGGCGTCACCACTTTCTTGACGCGACTGAGATCCCTCGCTGGGGCGAGTTGTTTAGGGCGGGGGTTGCTATCTTTGATCTTGACTTTGATGCTATCCTTGCTGCCATATATGCTGTGACCATTAGTGATGAGGGTGACTATTACCGGTGTTTTCCGCCTGACCCGGGCATTGAGACTGCTGCTCTAGGTACTGGTGAGGCTGCTGCTCTTGGTGCTAGCGAGGCTACTGCTCTAGGTGCCAGTGCGTCTGCGTCCTCAGGAGCTGGTGAGTCTGTTCTCTCAGGTACTGCGTCGGCTTCGGCCTCCCTCATCTTCACCCTTGACTCGAGGGCTTCTCGCTCCTTCTTTCGAGACCGCACCACACTCACACCTTGGTCTGCGGGGTGGAGGTCCTGGCCCTTGCTTGTGGTACCATGCACGAGGAGCCTGCTTCAGGCCATAGATGGCCTTCTTGAGCCTGCACACCCTGCCGCTCCCATCATCCAACCCCTCAGGATGAAGCATGTACAGCTCCTCCAGAATGATTCCATTGGAGAAGGTAGTGATTATGTCCATCTGCTTGATCTTCCAGCCACGGTTTGCAGCCATTGCCAACATCGTCCTCAGTGTAGTGCCTTTCCCCACAGGAGCAAAGATATCATCAAAATCCTTCCCCTTTGTCTGTTGGAACCCCTTATCCACAAGCCTTGACTTGTAGCGGGTCAGCTCCCCATCAGGTCCGTACTTGTGCCTGAAAATCAACTTGGAAGAAATGGCCTTCTTCCCTGGAGGCAGCTCACACAGCTCCCACGTCTCGTTCTCCAGCAGAGAGTCATACTCCTCCTTCACACTCTGCTTCCTCTTCTCAGCATCGGGCCCACTCAAGGCCTCGGTATGTGTCTTGGGCTCAAGGACGGCTGCCCAGTAACAGTGCGCTATCTCCTCCTCATCACACTGCTCAGCCACACTCCTAGCCCTTATCACACTTGGCTTCCCAAAGCTCGGATAGGTCAGCCGGTTAGGAGGGCGCACATCCCTCCTTGGATGGTTAGCCGGACGTACGGCACCTTGTGGAGCATCTTGTTGCTGCTGCTGCGGGTGCTGCTGCTGCTGCTGCTGCTGCTGGTGCTGCTCCTCCACCTCAGGTTCTCCCCCATCCTCAGTAACCCCAGAAATCTCCTCCTCTGAGACAGTGACCTGCACTTGCCTCGAAGGCCGCTGCACCTCATCAGCCTCAATGATCAGCGGTGTAGTGGGAAGCTTTTGCTGCTGCTGCTTCCACTCTTTGTAGTAAAAGGACTCAACGAACTTCACATCCCTCGACACAGTCAGCTGCTGGATGGTCAAGTCCCAAATCAGCCAGCCCTTGTGATCCTTAGCAAGCCCCAAGTGCATACCCCATCTCCCAGAAGCTTCTAGTTTTCCCCTCTTCTCCTTAGGCACATGAAACACCACCATGCACCCAAAGGCTCTCAGCATATTCACGGCTGGTGCACTCCCATACCACTTGGTGTAGGGGACCCATTGCTTGTCCCCCACTGTCGTCAGCACCCGGTTCTTCACAACAGCGACCTGCCGCAGTGCTGTCATCCAAAACGGATCCGGCAGCCCTGCACGCCCAAGGAGAGTGCGAGCACCTTCCTGCAGGGTCCGGTTGAGCCGCTCAGCCACGCCGTTCTGCTGAGGGTTCTAGGGCACCGTGAGCTGATGCTGGATCCCCTTCTTCTTCAGCACCGCCTCAAAATCAGCGCCAATAAACTCTCCCCCATTGTCGGTGCGGATCACCTTGAACTTGTGTCAGCTCTCCGTTTGTGCTCTCGGCATCCACTCCTTAAGAACAGCCGCTGCCACCTCCCCTTTAGTCTTGAAAGGGTAGACCCACACCGCACGTGTGTGGTCGTCCACAATCGTCAAGAAGTAGCGGCTGCCCGAGAGAGAAGGGGCCCTTGTGGGGCCCACCACATCCATGTGCACAAGCGCGAGTGGAACCTTGGCTGGTCCCGTGCTGCTGCTGAAGGGAAACTTTGTGAACTTCGTTTCAAGGCATGTAGGGCAGCTCCCAATCTCCTTCGCTGCCCCCTTCACCTCCAACCCCTTCAAGCTCCCATCCTTCACCAACTTCTGCAGCATCGGTATGTTGATGTGGCACAACCTCTCGTGCCACGTCTCCCAATCGGCCTCACCACTCCCAGAGGAAGCCTTTGCCCATGCAGCTGTTGCATCCACACCAGCAAGCACCTCACCATGTGGCTGCTGTGGCGGCTGCACCTTCTTGACTGCATCCAGGGCCCCAGCAGTTGGTGCAGTCTCCTCTCCTCCCGCAGTCTCCTTAGCCGCTGCCGCTGCCTTTGTCATTGCTGAAGGTTTCCCATTCCAAGGGATGATGGGCAGCTGCCACAGGTCCTTGATGCAGCTGCTCTTCTCCTCCAAATCCCACAGCAGCAACTTCCCAAGCTTTGCACGGCAGCTGGTTGGGCCGAACGTAACATTGGCCTTGCTTTTCTGCAGCCGGCGCACAGAGAGGAGGTTAGTGGATAAACCTTCAACCAACAGCACATTTCCTAGCCCCACAAGCCCCCCATTAGCTCCCATAACCTTGGCATTCCCAACACCAATCACAGGGAGCAAGGCGCCTGAAGCGGCAGCCACAAACTTTATCTTCCCAGGGGGCTTCACCTCATCAAGCAAATCTGCCCGTAGAGTCATGTGACTCGTGCAACCTGAATCGATCACCCAATGAGTGAGGGGGTGCATCACAACCTTCCCAACTGAACCCACATCACCCCCACTCCCTTGCACATCCTCAACCATGAGGAACATCCCAGGGTCGGCTTTACCTTGTGCACCATCACCTTGTGCACCTGAACCTTGCACAGCACCACCTCGAGCACGTTCACTACTTGGCGGCTTCATGCCTGGAGGCGCCCATCCTTCAGGCCGGCTGAAACACTTGAACCACGGGTGTCCAGCCTTTTTGCAGTACCAGCAAGCACCCTCCATTCGGGTGCTCCCCCTACCACCAGAGCTCCCATGCCCCTCATTGTAGTCACCTCGGCCTCTCCCTCTTCCAAAGCCTCTCCCACGGCCTCGGCCTCTCCCTCCCCCTCTTCCTCTACTGCCTTCTGCAGCTCCATACCCCTCAGCAATTTTGTTGGCAACACCACCTCCCGTGTGGCGCCTGCGGAAGTCCTCTTGCAGAATCTGCTGCCGTAGCCACTTGGGCGTCCATTTGTCCTGCTGAACGTTGAGGGTGGGGATGAGATTGTCCCACGAGTTGTCGAGCACCGAGATGATCTTGGTGCACTGTTGCATCTGCGACACTTCGCTGCCCGCCGCTGCCATCCTCGCATAGGTGTCCTTGATCTTGTCAAGGACCGGTTTCACATCATCTCCCGGTTTCATGGAGAGGGCAGCCAACTCCTTCTCCAACAGAATCACCATCGGCAGCGTGTTGGGCTGAATTACTTCACGTAATAGCTTCCATGCCTTTGGTTCAGAATCATCCAACTCCACCAAATCCTTGATGTGCTGGAACATGTTGTTGTTGACCGATTGGAGGATGAGGTCGTACAGCACCGCGCTCATCTCAATCCACTGATCGCGGGCATCTCCTTCCCCCGGCATCTTCTCCTCTCCCATTGCAATTTTCCGTAGCTTGTAGCGCTTGAAGGCGCTCCGCATCCGCCCGCTCCATTCCTCATAGTTGGAGCCATCCAAAGCTTCGATCTTGGATGGTGGCGGTTCACTCCTCTTCTCAGCTACATCTCCACTCCCTTGATTCATCTCCTCTGCTCCCAATCAGAGGGTTCAGCTCCCCCTTTGCTCATCACAATGTAGATCCACACAATCTTCACAAGTGTCGGCGCCAACGAAATTTGGGCAGAGTTTCCCCTTAGCGGAAGTCACATCCAACCTCCAGAACTCCACTTAGGCACGCCCACAGGCCATGGTGGGTCTAGGAGGGTCTTCACACTTCAGTAGACTCTCCACAAAGTCCTTAATCAGCTCTGATACCACTTGTTAGAGACTAAGGACGGAGTCTATGAAGATTAGGTGCCCAAATTTCTCATAATCGTTGGTCTCAATTTCTGGACAGAAACGTCGACTTTACAAGAAACGTTGTCGACGAAAGGTGCACAGTTAGAACCCCACGAAATTCGAATATGTTGTATCCCTAGAAAGTTTCTACATTTCCCAATTTGAATCGTATAAAAATATGAAGCATATCTCGAGTTATGCTTTTCGGCGCACTAGGGGGTATGCTGGCACATAAATTTAACTCAATCATAATTAACTCACAAGTCCCACAAAAGAACATTAGAGTAGCACTAAACAAGGTAGGAGGGGAAGAGGAGGACAAGAGGGAAGGTCCAAAGAGAGTCCCCAACCAAGGAAACCCCATGCCACACAATTCCCTTCCCCATAGGCAACAAACTTTGACCTTTGTCACTTTCCAACCCATGCCATCCACCTCACCTCAACTTGGCCACATTTACCAACCTGGTTTGGCTTCACCCAACCTCTTGGCAGCATCTACAGTGATGGGTTCGAATTTCCCAACCCCCACAAGTCTGTACCCCGTATTGAGTCAATGCCACAACTTCCCAAAGTAGTTGCAACCAAAATATATAAGCATACGAACTCCAATGTTCGTAACTTTCTTGGTTGTGCTCCGACCGCGACGATTCTTGGTTCGTCGTAAAGCTCTTGAGTAGAGGAATCACTTCAGATATCTGCTCAAGCCAAATAACACACACACACACACACACACACACACACACACACACACACACACACACACACACACACACACACACACACACACACACACACACACACACACACACACACACACACACACACACACACACACACACACACACACACACACACAC